AAAAATTTGTGAATAAAACAAAAAAATGAATAGTAAATGCCCTTAGCCATGGCAACGGGTGAAAACACAAAATACTATTTGCAAGGGCAGGGTGGAGTTGCTCTTACAAGCCATTGCTAGGTTTAACAACTTTCCAATGTGAGACTTTTTACCTTCACATTCTCAATACCTATATTTAGTTGTTTGTGGAATGTGTTGAGAGTGTCTGTCGCACATTGAAAAGTTAAAAAGACCTGATTTAGGTTTATAAGGAGTTGAGCTACTCCCCCCATTGCCAATTGATTTTGGGGTGGAACCTCAACTTCCTTCAAAATGTTGGCTTCTACAGCGTGTTAATCTCGTGTTTGCACAATCTGATTGAAGAGATGTTTAGTTTGTGTCAATGGCAATCAAGTTTCATTCTTGAAAATGCCAAAATGTAGCCAAACGCGCATCGTTAGAGGCTTTGATTTATAGTCTTTCCAGAGAGGGTCGATTAATTCCCATGAGGCGCTTATAACAATAATAAATAATATATTCGAGCTTCTTTCTTGCAAGACGAAGTTATTATGCCCATGCCATTGCTTATAAAGAAAAGGATCAGCTAATTCAAACCAAATAAAATATATATATTATGTCCGAATGCTAGCTTGGACTTCATCAATTTCACATTTTGAAAGGTGTCCATAGGCGCAGCCGCGCATGAAACAAGTATAGTAGAATAATAGTAATGGTCCTAGAAGTCAATAAACTACAACCCATTTAATTATTTGCCGTTTTGGTTCCAATTTCCAGCAAGTTTACACCGTCGATATTATTCCTGCAATTAACTCATTGACCAAATTGTCTATAAATACCACACAGCACTCGTCAATATTCTCACAATCAATACACTTACTCATCAGTTCATATTTTACAGACCGAAACAGAGAAAAAGCAGAGCATTTTCTTTTGAAGCTTTCCTTCCTTCCACTAAAAGAAATCAACATGGCTTGGAAAACAAATGATGCAGAATCTTTGCAATCCTCTGATGAGCTGAAACGCCAGAAGAAAATCAAAATGGCCATATATATTACTATTTTCGTTGTGTTTCAGATCATAGTTATCACCACGATGAGTCTCACTGTGATGAAAGTCAAGACCCCCAAGTTCAGGCTAGGCAGCAGCATCGACATCCAAAGCTTTGAATCTGTCTAGGAAACGCCTTCATTCGACATGAAATTCACAACCCAAATCAGGATCAAGAACTCTGCCAACTGGGGTTCCTACAAGTTCAATGCTGCCAATGTCACATATCAATACCAAGGTGCGACTGTGGGAGTAATTGATATCGCAAAGGGCAAGGCTGGATGGCTTTCGACCATAAAAAGAAATGTGGAGGTGAGTTTGAGTTCAAGTGCAATAACTGGTTCAAATCTTGGAAGCGAATTGAGCAGTGGGGTGTTGACGCTCAACAGCGTAGGCAGATTGAATGGAAAAGTTGCAATTATGTTCATAATGAAGAAGAAGAAGGCTACCAACATGAACTGCACCATAGCTTTTGATGTGGCAGCCAAGACTCTCAAATCTTTACAATGCAAATGAGCGGAGTAGCTAAGCATCAGGGATGCATCTTCAGCATTTGGATTGCGACTAGCTAGTTCTTGATTTGCGACTCTTCTTATTCTTTTTATTCTTTGTATCTGTCTGGCGAATGGATTTGTTATAGAGTTATAATGGTATTTGTTTTCTTTACCACTCCCCTTTTCTTATTTTTTTCTTTTTTTTTTCATGAATATACAATGGTAATATTCCTTCTGTGAGTGGATTCCGTTAATATGTATTATTTACTGATGACTTTTTTTTTTTTTTAGTTGACCTGTTTTTATGTAGTTAATTCTATTTTTTATGTAGTCAACTCTATTTTTTAATTAATAAAACTGACAGAGTTTGACATTGGACTTGATTTATTAACTAATGCAAATACAGTGGCTAAATTGGGAAAATTGAATCACGGTGACCAAATTTGATTTTGAGCGAAACCTCGGTGACCAAAAATATAATTAACCCTACTTAAAATAATAAGGTTAATTTTCTTTATGGAGCAAATAAAAAGGTTTTCCTGCTTGTTAAACGCAGCGTTCCTTTTTTAAAGAGGACCATGGACTGCATTAAAACTAAAGCATAGATAATATCAAAACCAACTGTTCAAAAACAATTGGACTTTATGAAAGTGGAAATGATGATGTCGTAGATGTCCCTCCTTCCTCGCGTGGTCTTCTTCTTGTTGTGCGAAATATCCCAAGACCTTGTCGTTGATGGACTACGCAATTATCACACACAAACCACGCAAAGATAAAACACACACAAAACCACAAAGTACACACACACACACACACAAAGAACACAAGAATTTATAGAAGTTCAGCATTGTGCCTACGTCCTTTTGGTGATCTCCAAGAAATTCACTAGTATATATGAAAGAACCCCTTTGGTTACAATGAAGAACCCCCTTTGATCTCTAACAAACCCTAGCTCTTTTTTCTCTCACCCTTGGCTCAAACCCAATTTGATGCCTTAGCTTTCTCACGTTAGAATAACCTAGTGCTGAAGTACCTATTTATATGTCACAGGGCTTTAGTACAATTATACAAGGAATATGAAACTTAAAGGACTCCAAAACTAGGAGAAAATATGTCCAAAGATTCGCTAGGGATATGCACTAGATTCGCGTGTCCCTCTCAAGGGCCAGTTTCCTCTTGAGTCTAAGCTATGCCCCTTGAGCAGGCGCTCGAGTGCCTTGGTTTGGACGAGAAGTACTGCTCTGCCACTCGACTGCCGCTCGAGCGCCTGTAGTTTCCGCTTAAGCATCAGAATCGAGTCAAAACTACCGCAGCTCTTTTGACTGTCTGTTTCCTTCACTCCTTCCATTTCTTTAAATGAACAACATCAACAATCTCCATCTTGACGAGCCTTAAACACCTTGTGAAAATTATTGACCCCTAGAACTTCTTCAGACCTTTTGGAAACTGTTTTAGTAATTCCCAAGAGCTCCACCTCAATCTTTAGCATGCAACAAGATTGAGCAAGCTCAAATAATGTCTGAACTTCTCAGCTGTGACTGGCTTGGTCAAGCAATCCAAAGCGTTCTCATCCGTATGAACCATCTCTATTGCAATGTCCCCATCATTCACCTAATCCCTTATTCGGTGGTACCATACATCAATATGCTTAGACATTTCGCGAAACACTTGATTCTTGACTAAGCATGTAGCACTTTGACTGTTACTTTGTATCACCACCAAGTCTTGGGCTATCCTGAATTCTTTAGCCAATCTTGTTAGCCATAATGCTTCATTAGAAGTCTTAGTTGTATATATATATATATATACAAGCCCCTTCAGTTGAGGGATCCCTCAAATGGTGTTATTTGAGGGATGAGGCGCTCAGTCGTTGGATCTCTTTTAATGAGATCTTGCGGCTATGGTTGTTTTAAATGTTTTAACCCATTTTAACACTCCTGACCTGAAGAAGAAAAAAACACGCGATGGCTGAAGAAACCTAAGGCACGCACAAAGAAGAGGAAGAGCCCACCTTTCCAAGACGAAGGAAGAGCTGCCATTGTGAGTTGAGCTTGCGAGAATTCTATGCCAATCAGGTAGGCGTATCCATAGCAGCATTTATGTTTCATTCTAAATCTGGGTTGTGATTTTCAAATTGGGGTTCTGCGATGGGTTTTTAATTTTGAAAATTTCTGGGCAAGGTTGAGATTACACCCGATTTAGTGATGAGCCTAACTCTAACAATCCAACAGCTCCAAACAAGGATAAAAACATTCTACATGGATTAGACATGACAGAGCTACACAATTCAAGTGGAGATATAATTGTAGGTCAGATGTATGAGACTAAGGAGGATTTAAAAACAAAGTTTGGTATCGATGCTCTGAAGAAAAATTTTGAGTTCAAAGTGAAGTGATCTAATAAAGAAAGATTTGAAGTTGGTTGTGTGGATGGCGGATGCATGTGGAAATTGCGTGCATCAAAGGTACAAAAATCCTCATATTTCATGGTTAGAAAATATGTTACTAAACACACTTGGTCATTGGATGTTATTCATCGCCATCATCGACAGGCAAATAGTTATCTTATTGGCCAGTTCATTAAGTCTAAGTACAAGGGTGTATCACGAGTACATAGACCCCATGACATCATGGAGGATATACGGAAGGACATGGGTGTGAGTATAAGTTATGTGAAGGCTTGGAGAGCTAGGAACATGCATTGGAGTTGGTTAGGGGATCAGTAGAGGAATCTTACATTAGACTCCCATCATATTGTGCTATGCTAGAAGCCAAAAATCCTAGTACGATTACGCATATAGAAACTGACAGTAATAATCATTTTATGTGTTTTTTTTTATGTCACTTGGACCTTGCATCAAAGGATTTCACAATGTTATCAGGCCAGTAATAGCACTTGATGGAACATTTTTAAAAGGTAAATGTCTCGGAACGTTGTTTGTTGCCACATGCAAGGACGGGAATAATCAAATATACCCTCTAGCATTCGGAGTTGGAGATTCAAAGAATGATGCATCATGGAATTGGTTTTTGACAAAATTACGAGGAGCTATTGGGCATATTGATGATTTAGTTTTCATTTCTGATAGACATGAAAGCATTCGGAAGGCTATCTCCACTATATTTCCTAATGCTCATCATGGGGCATGCATATTCCATATAAGCCAAAATCTTAAGAACCACTTTAAGCATGGAAGAGCACATTCGCTTTATTTTAGAGCTGCTAAGGCATATCGTATTCTCGAATTTGATTGTCATATGGTGCAAATATATAATGTTGACCCTCATTTGGGTAATTATCTTCATGCAGCTGGATATGAAAAGTGGGCTCATGCGTACTTTAATGGGAAGCGGTACAACCTAATGACAACAAATATTGCTGAATGTCTCAATCCAATCATCAGAGATGCTCGTAAGTTGCCTATCACCAATTTTATGGAGTATTTAAGAATGAATATACTTCAAAATTGGTTTCATAAGCGTCAAACTGAGGCAACCAAAATGGATTCACATTTGACGGAATGGGCTGACAAGTTGGTGCGAGAAAATAACCAAAAAGGATTATCATTGCAGCTATTTTGAATTCATTATCTTCTTTTTTTTCGTTGTTGCAAGTATTTAATTTTAAAGAAATGAACATACTGGGAACTTGTCCTTGGTATCCTTGGCCACAAACAAGGCTACCAAATGAGAAAGAAAAGTTAGTAATATCAATGGGCATATCATTCAATTTTAAATTTTTTTTATTGAATTCGTTTGTTCTTTTGTTTAAGGAACAAATTTGTTGAAAAGATTTCCAATAAAATGGTTGGGGAGTATTTATAATGTATTTCATTTTTGTTGAATATACAGGTTTCTCCTATTGAGGCATACTTATTTCATGTATACGATGGAAGTTGTGTTGAAGTTGTAAATTTAGAGTGGAAGTGTTGCACATGTCGAGAATTTGATCTTGACCAACTACCATGTGCACATGCTTGTGCTGCATGTAGGCATCGACAAATTTCGTGCTACCCAGTGTGTTCAAAATATTATACTACAAACTCATTGGTAATTGCGTATGCATAACCTATATGGCCAGTTGGGGATCAAACAGATTGGGTGGTGCTTGATGATATACGAGATAGAATTGTGCTACCACCAATTACACGAAGAAGGCACGACAGGCGTAAGGAAAAGAGAATCCCATCACGAGGAGAAGAACCATCAACACGTAAGTGTTCACGATGTGGTTCAACTGGCCATTATCGACAAACTGGCAAGAATCCGATTGCACTTGATCCTACCTCATAGACAAAGTGGTGTTATATTTTTCTTTTTAACTTTATGAATTGTAATGAATGAATATTTAAGTTTTTTTTTATTTTTTTTATTTTTTTATTTTGTAATGTAGATCGTTGTATTGAATTTTTTTGTTCTACAGACTACCTCTAAATGTGTGACAATTTTTGAAGAATTAAAGTTATGTGATATATATATATATATTGAGTGAGAGGAGGAAATTATACTTGTGCACTGATTCAATCATTTTCTGAATTTTTGGTTCTAAATACTTTTTTTTTGTTGCCAAATACATGCATTTCATTTGGAGACAAATGGGAGAGAAGAAGATGAGAAGAAGAAAAAAAGAGATATGCATACGGGAGAAGAAGAAAGAAAAAAAGAAAAGGAAAAGAGAGGGAGTGATGCTGGAGACAAACGGAAGAAGAAAGAAAAAAGAAATGAAAAAGAAATGGAGAGGTGATTGGAAAAGTGTTTGAAGGAAATATTCCAAAGTTTTATTTTATAGGTTTATGTGGGTTTTAAATTTGAGGGCGTTTGTGTCTATTTAGATGAGTTTTCTGCTATATTTGAAATTTTTTACAAAAACTGACATTTTTGAAATTAAAGGTCAAATTTTGGCTATTTTTTATAAATATCAGGCGTAACCTCAACCTTGCCAGAAATTTTCAAAATTAAAAACCCACGCACAATTCGAAAATCACAACCCAGATTTAGAACGAAACATAAATGTTGATGTGGATACGCCTACTTGATTGGCATAGAATTCTCGCAAGCTCAACTCACCATGGCAGCTCTTCCTTCGTCTTGGAAGGATGGGCTTTTCCTCTTCTTCATGCGTGCCTTAGGTTTCTTTAGCCATCACGTGTTTTTTTTTGGGGGTCAGGAGTGTTAAAATGGGTTAAAACATTTAAAACAACCACAGCCGCAAGATCTCATTAAAAGAGATCCAATGACTGAGCCCCCCATCCCTCAAATAACACTATTTGAGAAATCCCTCAACTGAAAGGGACTATATATATATATATATATATATATATATT